GCCCTCACAGCCACGAGGCCAAGGAGCAGCTGGGTTGTAGCCAAGAGCCCCAGGGAAGATGCAGGAAGGGAAAGAAGTCCTTCACGCCCACCGTGACCACCCCAAACTCCCGCTGGCCGCAAGCAAGAGCCCTCAGCATCCTGAAAACGGGGCAGTATCAAGCACCCGCTGCTGAGGACAGGCCCTGGGCACTTGTGCGGGCTCACAGGCCCTCAGACATGCTGACCTAACCTGTGGCCTGACTTCATCAGGCTACAGACAACACCACCCAGCCTAAACTACAGGCGGGAGCGACCCATGGCTACAGGTGGCGGCCGGGTCCAGCACAAAGACGGGCTTTGTCTGAGCTCAGATGGAGGAAATGAAGGCCAAGACGGACAAAGCGTGGAGCGAGTGCTCCCTACCCAAGCGCAGGAGTGGCACATCTAGGCAGAGAATGCTTTCAGCACAGGGCTGCTGGTGCCTGCAGACCTTCGGCACCTAGGGAAGGCCTAAGAGAGTTTAAGCGTCTCCATAATATCTCAAACATCATTTAAGAGACTCTGTGGATCTTGCCCTCTGGGCCTCCATTAATTCAACCGTAACCACTTCTGAACCTCGCCAGTTCCCAGCACTGACAAACCGCATCACACATCCAGGCTGGGAATGCAAACACAGCATCTCAGCACCCGGCACAAAACCCAGACACCACAGCTACCACTCGACTGTCCCCTACGGACAATGCTCAATGGCTGTGCAGCCCAGGGGCCTCACACGGAGGAGCAGACACGACTGAACTTGGGTGGGTGGGAAACCCTGGGAAGGTTTCTAGATAGCAATGTGGTGAGGTTCTGGAATAGTGTTCCAGAATGGGAGCTGAAACCTTTTTTCTTTCCAGAGGATGGAGCTTCATCACGGGAATGCCAAGAGGAGCAGGGCCCTTCCAGTCAGATAGGTCCAGCCCCTGGGAGGTCCCAGGACAAAGCCCACCAGCTTCTGCTTTGCTGCTTTTCCACTCAGCGACCAGCCTCCAGCCTTCCGAAGCACGCGAGGGACTTTGTTCTTGCCTCTGCCAACTGGCAGATTATATTAAAGAGCTGCAGAGAGGGTAAGGGGAGCAGAAGGAAAGGAGAAAGCGCTGCTGACGTTCCTCCATTTGAGTTCTTCCTCCCTCCCCTGCAAGGGCATGAGACCAACTCCTTGGCCCCAGCCCGCGTTGCTCCCGGCTGTACAGCACTGACAAAACCAGCTCTGATGTGAAATGCTGGCTGTGTTTTTATAGACTTATATTGCTCTAAAGAGCAAAATAAAAACCAAAACAAAGGGCACAGGGAAGCACAATGTGAGTGCCAGAACAGCACTGCTCAGCTCCCATCCACGTCTTATTTCCTCTGAGGGGATCACAGGCTGTTGCATTTGCCGTTTAACACCGTCACCACTCAAGGTCTGGATTAATACCGCTCAACAGGGACAGGACCCAACATGTTTTATATCCTTAACCCCCTATGTACCTTTGCACTGGAGGCTGTCCTTCCTGGAGAAACATTTTCATGTCCCAGAGACTCCAAACCCAATAGCCCATTTCTGCCCACACTGATGTGAGAATGATTTCTAAGATTACCGACCTGCTCGGGAGCTAACAGCAGGAACCGCTGACACCGCCATCTCTCTTTTGGCTGGCACGCTCGCTGCAGACTTGGCAAGCAAAGCCACAACCTCACTAAAATGCTTATCTTGTTCAGTTCTTTGCCACAAAGCAAACAGCCTAATTTGCGCCTCTCTCAATCCTGCAGCCTACCACAGCCACCGCTCCGAGCCAACTTAGGCCTGACGCAGGCTCCAATGAAGTTTCAGAATCACTCAGGCCTCCACCATACACATTTGCTAACTGCATCACCAGAGGAGAAAAGAACAGAGGAAACATCCCAAATATCCTAACAAAGACGAATTCAACTGCTGCTACGGAGCTAGTATCTTCTCCTGTTTCCAGCCTCTGTAACATAAAAGAAAATCCTAAATCAACGCAGGGGTTTTAGCCAAATTAATAACAAGTGGTAAGAGTTAACAGACTGATGATAGCTATCTGGAGCCTGCTTTGACTGTGAGATATATAATAAATCTTTTCAAGTTGTGACAAATGTCTTGGCTGATGCAGCCCACGTTCTATGTTTAGATCTTACTAAAATGTAGTATAACATTTGGTTTTAGTTTTTTAATTATAATTAAGAAACAAACTCCAATCCACTTCAATCACAGCCTGAATCTGCACATGGAATGACTGTCCCCACCGTGCCAATCTTTCCCACACTCAATATTCAAATCAAAGGAAATCCAGACATTCTGTCCAGCAGGGTTTTTTTGGTTACAGAAATATATTCAAGGCATAGAATGGGTATGTCTAGGATTCCAAAGGTTAATTCCTTGTCTCTCGCTCAAGGAGATCTCTGCATAGTAGGTTACACCCCACACCGCGGTGTCGCAAGGTAAGAACCCAAACAGAACAGACACGCAACTCCTCTTCTGATGGATTATGGAGGATAACTGAGGACAAGGAGCTACCTTGCCTGTCAACACGCACCATCTTCATCAGTAACATGATCCACTTCCATTCAGGCCTCATTCCCATGGCTCCCACACCACACCTGGAAGGCCAGGCTTAAACGCCATTAGCATTACAGCGCCATGAGGTATTGCATTAATGCGCAGCTACAACCCTTGACGTGCTGGATGAGCAAGCTACCCTAAGCTGATGGGCACGATAGGGAAGACAGAAACACGCAGGCGGCAGCACAAAGAGCTGTGTGTTTCTCAAGGAGTTCGCATAACCAGATTCTGGAACAGGATAATCCAGGCAGTCCTGCACCGGTTACTTCATCGCACCTTTCGCTTCTGTAGCACGCAAAAATTTCTGCCTGCCCTTCCGCAATCCAATCCTAACAGACTGGCTCTACTGTTGTGCCAAATCCTGGTACCATCAGTAGGTCAAAACGCAACTGGATGGCCCTATCCATGCAGCTCCCAGTGCAGGGAACTGGACGTCGCATCCTTGCGCTGCCAGTTCTCAGAGGAGACAAGGAGGTGGGAAGTTGGTGAGCAGGCTGCAGGACAAGGCTGGATTCAGACCAGGAGCAAGAATGCACACTTGATTCCTGAAGAAATTGAAAGTATTATCCCACCTCCGGGTGCTCCCAGAACCAGGGTAGGGCTTAATTTAGGAGGGAACACAACAGCTTGCACGCTGGGGCTGGAGTGGGTGGTATGTCTTACACCGGAGTGTCTTCCACTAAAGGGCAGAGCCTCCTGGGTCTACAGCCAAGGTCAAGGAGCAGGCAGCTCTCTTAAACAGGGGTCCCTTTTGGAGGGCCCATGATAGCAAAGGGGAGCAGAGGCTGTCCTGCGTGGCAGAAGACTGTGATCCCCATCAGAGGTAGGTCAAAGCTACACAGCGTATGCCCCGTTGGGGCACGGGGTTGACTGAGGTTTGAGAAGGAAAGGCTTTGCCTGACGGCAGCCTTCTGGCAGTGAAGGCACCAGGCAGAGCGCACCAGGCTCCTCACAGCAGCGCATGGCGGGGGGCCAAGGGACAGTAGGTGTACATTGAAACAGGAGAGGTTCAGACTGGGTATGGGGAGAAACTCTGCTCCACGAGGACAGTCAAGCAGCAGAGCTAGAGCCCAGGGATGCTGAGCATCCTTCCTCGGATGTTTTCAGCACCCAGCTGGAAACGGCCCAAGTACCTTGCTGTGAGCAGGAGGCTGGACTAGAAACCTCCCCAGGGTCGCATCCTGCCTCAATTACCCAACAGATCGATGATTCCAGGATGAGACCTGGCTGTAATCCACAACAAAATGCTTTACCTGGAATACATGGCACCCTCACACACACACAGCCTTCCCGACCTCTGAACATTTCAAAAGCAAGTTGCTTCCCTAAGCCCAGCCTGTGCCTTCCAGCATCCATCGAACAGCCCACGCGTACACACGTCTCACGAGGCTTTCAGGAACAATTTTTTCTGACAAATAAGAACCTTTTCATGGATTTGGGGGGATCTACTCAAATCAGTACCAGTCTGTGGCAGTGGGGCTGTGCTGGGATGGGACACCCTGCTCCCTGCACAGACTGTGCTCCGACTGCCAGAGCCTGACTCAAGCCCAGAAGCACAGACACCTACTCCAAAAACGTACGGGCTGTCCCGTAGCAGCCCTGGCTGCTCCAGCTATCCGCAAAGTTTCTTCCCGTATCCTGCTACGCTTTTGGCTGCGTCGAGGCACAGAGGCCCACAGTCTGGTCTCAGCTCTGCGTACAACTCAGCGGTGCCGTGTTTGCCGTGTGTTGCTGGACGGCCGCCACACCAAAACCGGGCAGCACCCCGACGTGCGGCGCCCGCACCAGCACTCCTCTGAGGGAACCCAGTCAGAACCCACCGAAGCTTTTCGAATGTGGCAGTAAAATTTGCAAACGCATTAAAAAATAAAAAAGCAACAACTGTGAGTTTTCCGAAAGGCTCCGTAATCCCTTCCAGAGGTGAGGAAGCCTGTGTAGCTTTGGCAGGGCAGGAGTAAACACAGCAGCGAGGAGGCTATCGCTGAGTACAGGCAAGAGGGGCTACACTCCTTCGCTCACACAAAATCTGCACTTCTCTACAAGACCCAGGAACGGCTGCCAGAGGAGTTGCAGGACGCAAAAAGCTCTGGAAATCTACAGCGTATTTTCTTCCACTGCTCTTTTTGCCATGTTTTCCTTTCAGCACAGCACAGCAGCGTGTTTGTGCTGGCCAAGTCTACCCTCCTCCTTTCCACCGCACCTTCGAGCAATCCAAGTGCAGGAGACACAGTATTACCTCAAATATTTAACCAAGGGATTAAACTATTCTCTTGGCAGGAGGCGCAAGCTGCCCCACGGATACACGCCGGCTGGCAGGCACTGCATGACAGCCTGCTTCGCAGCAAACAATCTGCCCTGGGCCACAAAAACCTCTTCACAATTTTCTCCACCGCTTTCTCGCTAATATTTCCGCTCACCGGTTCCCGGCCATCCATCGCCTCCATCCACAGCCTTCGGTCCTCTTCCGAAAGCGCCTGCATGGTGATCACGCCAGGCCTGCAGCAACAAAGGGAAACGCCGTAAATAAACTGCAAGATGGAAAACAGAGATGACAAAGATAAATTTACCATGGGGGAGAAAGAGATGGAGGACAACCTTCTTCCTAGCCAAGCCCCAGCGGTGTGGGGCCGATCCCAGTCTGACCTCTCCAGGATGTCCCGGCTATGGACCAGAAAACGCACAGAGGATATCGCTCCTCAACAATCCCCACACATTTTCAGTGTTCTTAGGGTCAGAGAGCTGGATGCCAAATCCTTCCTCTGGCTTTAAGTCAGAGAGCTCACCTGCACTTGGGTAAGCACATCCACGTAATGGCAGGAGAAGGCAAGGAAGGTAACCGAGAGAGCAGGAGAGCCGGGCACCCTGGGAGCGCTGCGAAGAGGCCCAGGGTGCTCACCCCGGCACCGTCTGGTCCTGCTCGGCCCTGCCATTACACACACAACAGCCTGTGAGCTACACTGCAAATTGGCCTCCAGAAAATAACTCTGTACTTGCTTATTTGGTTTATTGAGAAAGGGACAGAACAAGCCGAAGTGCCTGCAAAGCCCAGAGAGCCAGAGGACAACACCAATCCGTCTCTAAAGCCAGCGCCACTTCCACCACTCCTGAGTGGACCTTAAGTCCAATCCTGGACTGCCCTTCCCATACAAGGAGTTAAAAGCTAATTATCTAGCTCTGATAAGCATGACCGCCAAGGTCATGATGGGTTTGACACGGTGGCGAGCATTTGCACAACTTCAGGCGTGGCTGTGTGTTTGCCCAAGAGAGGAACGTGCCGCCGAGGACGAATGCCAGCACCGCATTCCCATGGGTCGCACCGCGGGCTGACCGTTTCCTGCACCTTGGCTGCAAGCTGTCTGGCTGTCCATCCCCGACATCCCAGCTCATCTCGCAGCCAGCAGACCCAGCCACCAAAAGCCTAGATAGCCCTGTGCCTCCTCAGCCTTGGGTCCAGGTCTCTAGCCTCCGAAGGGACAGTCGCGTCCTGCCCCGAGAGAGGCCGCAGAGGGCAGAGGCTCAGTGAGACAGCCGCGATCTATGCTGTTCGCTTGGTCGAGTTGTTCTGCTTCCTCCCAGGCTGTTTTCAGATGCATCAGCAGGGCACGGCAGCTATTTCTGCAGGAGGGGAGCGGGCAGAAGCCCTGGCAACGGGGGAGCCACAGGCACAGCCAGAGCACGGTATGACTCGATGTGTTCAGGGAGGTTATCGGGGCTCTCCTTGCAGCAATGCTCATGGGGTTTCATCCATCAGCAGAGAACCTCGGCTCATCCACGGCAAAGCAGAGACTCCGGAAAGCCAGCAGAGAACTAGGATTGCGGGGCACTGGCCTGCCACGGCACAGAGTGGGGAAGAGGGATCGAACCTCAGGAGCTGCCAACCGCCCGCAGACCACGTTCAGCAGAGCACGTGGGCTGTTCTCGGTACTAAATCCTCAAAATCTGATAAGGGCAGGGGAGAGGGGTAATTTCTAACTTGCACTTCCCAAAAGTGATTCAGCCGCAACAACACTGTGCGAAAGTCGTTTGGTCCTTGATAAGAGCCAATCCTCTCTTAGGAAAGAAAACATGAACAAGGGCTCTCATGGTTTGGCCTGTCTTCTGTCACTTCTGTGGCACACATCGGCAAGGAACAAAGGATTAACCCTTCTCCTTAACTCCGCTCCCCATCCAACCGACCCCAGCGTTGGCTTTGGGCACACAGATGGCAGCTTAGCACTGTTGCACCAGTGTAATAGTGTAATAATTACGTTCCAGACGTAATGTGATTGATCGCCGCTAATCCCATCGGTGAGTCAGTCAAAACTCACCAGCTTAGTGGTTTGGAACTTTACTCATTTCGAAGGAAAGAGGAAACCACTTAACCATCGCCCCATTTGAGAAAGAAAATGTTCGACATCCAACGCCAAACATTTTCAAAACGCTGAACAAAGCTCCCTGTTGGGCAGAGACAAAGCGATTCTCGCGCAGAGCCGGGTAGCTGAGGAGCGGTGGCGGCACTGGCTACGGGCTGACAGCAAATCCTTCCCCCACAGCAGGAACGGGCCTTTCCCTGGGTGACCAAAGGTCTCGGCTGAGCCCCCTTCAGCCAGGGCTTAAGTCTGAGTTTAAGGCAAAGTTGCTGCTGAAGGCAGAAAGCCCTGGAAGGGCTCTAGCTCAGCTAGGGAGAGATGGGAAAGGGAAGCAGGACTAGGGTCAGTGATCGGCCCCCTGTGCTGGGCACTGGGGAGGCTGCACCTCGAATCCCGGGGTCAGTTTTGGGTTCCTCACTGCAAGAGAGACACTGAGGGGCTGGAGCGTGTCCGGAGAAGGGAACAAAGCTGGGGAAGGGCCTGGAGCACAATTCCTGTGGGGAACGGCTGAGGGAGTTGGGGGGTTCACCCTGGAGAAGAGAAGGCTGAGGGGAGACCTTATCACGCCCTACAACTCCCTGAAAGGAGGGTGCAGAGAGGGGGGGGCAGTCTCTTCTGCCAAGGGACAAGTGATGGGACAAGAGGAAATGGCCTCAAGCTGTGCCAAGGGAGGTTTAGATTGGATATTAGGGAAAATATCTTCCTGGAAAGGGCTGACAGGATTGGAAGGGTCTGGAGGGGGTCATCATCTCGGGAGGGGTTTGAGACGTGTGGCCGAGGTGCTCAGGGACATGGGTTAGTAGTGGTGGGCTCGGCAGTGCTGGGTTAACAGTTGGACTGGATGATCTCAAAGGTCTTTTCCAACCTAAGAGATACTATGATTCTAAATATTGGGATTTCTGTCTCTTTAGCCAAGACACTAAAACACAGAAATTTACCCCGTTCACTCCCACTGGACTCCCAGCAAAGCAACTCGGCCCTGGAGGGACACCGCTGGTATCTGGTGTGCCAGGTTCCCTCACGCACAGGGCAAAAAGGTGATAACATGAAAATGTTTGTTCTGCCTTTGAGCAGATAACAACTCTTCGGGCTTCACTTCAAAGTCGAACTTACTCAACAGCATGAGGGGAGGGGCTGTGAAACTGGATTAAAGACCTATTTACATTGCAAATAGCTCTGCATTTCCTCCCACAGCGTTCATTTGCCAAGCCATCCATCGCAGCACTTCCCTGTGCAGAACCGCCTTCCTGGCTGTGCTGCATTTCAAACGCACCCCACACATCCATTACTTACTGGGACGATGGATGCCCAGGGGGTAGCACGTCAGGTGGGACGGCTGGCGCTGGAACAGCATCCTACCAACGCTATCAACGCACAACTGTCTTGGGCACGCTGTCGCCAGCCTCAATGGCACGGTGTTTCCTTCAAGATCAACCGTTTCCAACAGTGTGCTCCTCAGATTATGGATATCTCGCTTATCCAGTGTAGAGCCCGAGACAGGGAAGGCCCTTCCCTGACTTCCTTTCCCAAAAGATAAACAAAACATATCATTGTTCCCTCTCCTAACGTACGAGCAATCCTGAATGCAGGAGCTTAGCTAGATTTTGCCACTGAGCAGCTCACATCCCTTCCGAAAGCCCAACGTGCCACGCACACGGACACACGCCGGAGGAGCCTCCGTTATCCACCCGAGCCAGCCCCGAGACTGTCGCGTGGGGTCAGCAGGATCCTCCTGGATCTGACAGCTAAGATGCACAAACTCGTGGGAAACTAGATCAGGGTCCTGCTGATTCATGATTAAATGCTGCATCGGACATTTCGACCTCCAGGCACCAAAACCCTTTGCCTTCTTCTTGGATGCAAGGGGGGGAAAGGGACATTTTGTGGTCAGCAGGGAACAGTTTCTAAACTGAGTGGATCATAGAATCACAGACTGGGGTTGGAAGGGACCTAAAAGCCCCCCCAGTCCCCCCCCCCTGCCATGGGTAGGGGCACCTTCCACTAGATGCATGAGAATGGAGTACAAACATGGTAAGCACTTTGCAAGAAAGTATATTTTCAATATGTTATGATGTAAAAAATAAAGAGGTTTTTCCATATGAGACCACACAGGAAATTTGAATTTTCTCAATATCTCAGCTTTTGTGCAAAACAGCCTGGGTTTAAGGAGCTATGACTAAGCACATGGCAAAAATGAGAAAGTCCAATAGCTTCTCCTTCTTCCAGAAAAACAAACAAATAATGAAAGCAATAAAACCAGATAAGAACTTCCAACTCCTGTAGCAGCTTATCATACCGAGACAATCTAAACTGCTGAATGAGAAAAACATAAGAGCAGATTAATACCAGGGTCTCGAGGGCTGAGCATGGGGTAAAGCCTGCAATTCCGGGTCTGAGCAGGGCAGAGCACCCACGCACCGCCAGCACCCCAAATGGGACACCACGGTCACAGGGTGCTGGTCCAGGCAACAGCAGCCAGATGCAGCCCCCAAACAAAAGAGAAAAGGTGTAAAGAACGAGGGGACTTTGTTCCTGGATTCAGAAAGTCTCACTTGGCCGTGTAAAGCTTAAAGCACCATTGGTACAACCACCACCGGCACATTCTGCTGGGGCAGGGCTGGCGGGGGTCTCCATGGCTGCTGGGGGGGATGGAGCTTCATGTCCCCGCTGCCAGCCCGCCCGCCCATGAAAACCCCGTCAACGGCTTTGTTCGAAATGTCACTGGAAAGGCGACACCAGCAGAGGAACAAGTACAAGTTGTATTGCACGTGCTGTCCAAAGCCGCCGGCCTGCCTTGGGGAACACCGGCCGAGGTGGGGTGGCCACCGGCCACCCAGTCCCAGCACAACCAGCCCGGCTGCAGTCAGGGTGGCACTCAGAAAGAAATACACAGGTCTAAATGGTGTCCTTAGAGCAAGGCCACCAGCCAACCTGCTGCAGAGCATCCGGCGGTGGCAGCTGGCCCTCCCCGATGCCAACAGCCCAGCGGAGTGGGGACCAGCCACCTCGGGGCATGCTGGCAGCAGCCCAGGGGGCTGGCGTTATGTGCTGAGTTTACTGCCTTTATGAGAGACAACCCCCCCCCAGATTTTTAATACCTCCTGTTCTTCTGGCCCAGGGCAATGACCTGCATCATCCTCAGTTACAAAGCCTGTGTCATCAGCCAACTGAGACACTCCTCCTCCTAAGGCTCATTCCGTAAGCCACTGGCTGTCATCCCTGTTCACCTTGTTTACAAAACTGATTTAATGCACAGAGACTACAAATAAGTTTAGTTCGAAAAAAACCCAGACCATTAACAGTAAAATCCACCGCAGTGGGAATGTATTTCAGCCAGACACAAGAACACCATTCTGGGGCTAATTTTCCTGTAACAAAGCAATAAAATACTCCTAACTTCCCACAGGGAAAAGCAGAACTATTTGCAAATGCAGCGCTGGGGGTTTCTGACGCCTCTCCCAAACACCTGTACCACAGCTTTCCAGGCTGAGGCACGGAGAACCTCAGCATCTCCTTATCAGACAGTAGGAAAAGGAAGCAGTGTTGTTGTAACAGAGCGGGCTCAAGATTCCCAGCTCAGTAGTGCTGAATCTTTACAGGAGAAAAGGAGAAAAAACAAATTCCCCCCCTCAACAAGCAACAGCTTCTCCAGGCGTTATGTGAAAAGCTCCCAGCCCGCACCCACACGCACGGTGTATGTGGTTGCATGTACACGAGCTTCCCAAAACGCAACGCTGAAAACAAGCCCATTTCGGTGCAGATGAACGTAACTGCGGAAGAACCAGGCGAGGCTGCCACCTCTAGGCTGCTCGGCAAGGCAGGAGCTGGAGCATGGCCCTCACCCCTGTGCCTGTCACCGGGGCTTTGGCTGTGTCCTACACCACCGCCTGGGTTGACAGGGACAGAGCAAGAGGAGCTGCACAGATTTGATGGGGACAGGAGATAAAACCACTCAAGTGGAAAGGGAAGTTTCCTCATCTGAACTTCTACGTGTGTGTGGCTGTCAGCTGGGAGAGTTGGGGGGTCCAGCCTGGAGAAGGGAAGGCTCCAGGGAGACCTTAGAGCCCCTTCCAGTGCCTGGGGTGTACAAGGGAGCTGGGGGGAACTTTTCCCAAGGGCCTGTAGAGACAGGACAAGGGGTAACGGGTTTAAATTGAATTGAAAGAGGGGAGATTTAGACAGGACATCAGGAAAAAATCCTTCCCATAGAGGGTGGGGAAGCACTGGGACAGGTTGCCCAGAGAAGCTGTGGATGCCCCATCCCTGGAAGTGTCCAAGGCCAGGCTGGATGAGGCTTGAAGCAACCTGAACACCACCAGGATGCGTGTCTGGAAAGACACAGAAGGGATGCACAAACTGCAATCTGCCGGATGAACAATGCCGCTTGCTCTTGCCGCAGCGGGCACACACACCGCCCAGTGTATTCTTGCTCCACACATATTTGGAAAGACAACCCAGTGTAATCATCCACAGGAAGCAAGTGATGTGTACAGGAAAATCTTCCTGCTCCCTTAATCCACTCGTTCCAAACAAACCCTTCGAAAGGCAGTTCCAAGCTGGAGGAGAAGCACGCTTTGGCGGCATTATTCACCCTCACCTCTGAACCCCACAAATGCACGTGGCTTTCTCAGCATCACCGTGCTCTCCTGGGTTGGCTTAACGGCACCTACCAGCTTTGCTCTCGCTGGATGTGGCTTGCAAGGCTGATGTGCATTCAGAAGTTGCATGCAGAAAAGAAAGGGGAAAACTGCTCAAGTCAAAACACGGTTCGTATGTGAGACAGAGAAGCATCTTGGGGATGTTTGCCTTAATCAAATCCAGACTTCCTGCATGGGGCTGAAGAACAAGATGTCAAGTTTCTAACTTCTCTATTGGTAGAGACAATTAAAAAACACAATGCCAAAAAAAGAGAAGAGAAAAAACAAACCCAGCCCAAGACGAAAAGCCCAATACACAAATCAGCCTCCTCCATTCTGTAAGAAGACACAGACACCGCTCCAGCAAGCCTTCGGCCAAAGACATCCTGCCATTTGTGGTCAGCGGCTGGGTGGAGAGCGTGGGCTGAAGTTTTTCCCTGTGCTCGGGTCCTTAAGCCAGAGCTGATCCCCTCCAGCACAAAAGGGAAAGTCTCCGAAGGTGTTACCTTCCTGCTGCCCGTGCCTGGCCAACTCCCTGAGCAGCAGGCACAGGGCAGCAGGAGCGCCAGGTCACCCACGTCCCCAGGACCATGCAGCAAAGCGGGGCTGGGCTCTGGCAGGACGGCTGCAGGGTGGCACCCACGTGCTGCCAATCCTCGATAATCCCGGGCTGGCAAGGAAACCGTTCCTCGACACCCCTCGCATCACGAGTGCTGGGCGAGGTGACGGTGATCTCCAGCAAACCCTGGCCATCGACAGTGTCACCTGAAGCCCTGAAGGTGCCCGGATCTCCCAACGCTCAGCACGACTATGCCGAAGAGGGGCAGACAGGGTAGGCACATCACACTCCCTTCCAGCCACGGCAAAACCTGTTACAGCCTCCTCTTCCCAAACAGTTAGGCTAAGGGGAAACAATCATTATTTTAGGCAACTAATGCCGAATTCCGATATCAAAAATATGCAGAGTTGCCTGTATACTGGGGGGCAACCAGCCTTTTATTTCACGTTTTCTGCCCTCTCGGGCAGAGGCAATCCCTTGCAGTAGGAACGTGCACATGAAAGGAGCAATTTCTCAGCTTTCCCCGCCTTCGCCGCTCCCCTGCCATTATTTACATTTAGCAGGCATATTTCAGGAGTAGCTCTTGATCCCATGCCTAGCAGGCTCCAGACATCAAGGGAAGGTTCAGCTCCCTCTGAACACTCTGCAGAAGAAAACTATTGTGGTGGCTGGCTTCTCCTCCTCCCAGTTTTATTTTGATTTTTACATTTTAAAAAAAAAAAAACATCCTCAGGGCATAGGAAAAGAAATTCCCCAGTCAGCAGAAACACTGCAGCTTTCTGGAGTAAAGCGCAGCTATGGAGAGCGGAAGGCAGCTCTGGGGTTATCGGATCCCTCAGCCAACACGGGCAGAGCTCCATCACCCCAAACCCTCCCTGCCCCGGGCTGGCACAGGGAAGGGGTTATTCCCTGCGGGAGCACAGGCTGGACAGGGAGAGGGGTTATTCAACACCTAAGATTTGGTGAAATGGGGTTTTCCTGAGATCCCCATTCCTGAGCAAAGACAGCTGGAACACGAACAGGCACACAACGGGGAGGGCACAGACATCCAGTGACTCCGGCGCGAGGTTTTGTAAACCATGTGAACTTCCTGCAGCGAGGAAGATAGGAGGCCGTGACTAACACCGCTTGGAACAGCAACCCCCGCCTGGTTTTCCTGTTTAGATATGTAAACCGTGCGGGATGCTAATTAGACGTGATAACAGCCTCTCATTCCTAGGTGCCAGAGATTGAATCCACACGTACATCTGGTTCAGCTGCTACGTGATAAATCACACCAGAAAGCATTTCACTCCTTCAGGAAAATGCTCCTTTACTCCTCCTTTGTCAAGACGGGAATCTCAAGTGCCTGGAGGTGCAAGCCAAGCTCCCATTATCCATCCACAGTCGAGCAGCAACAGCCACTCTCCAGCATGACAGCTGAAGCTATCCCAACATGTACCCCGCGCTGAAACTACCCCAACACGTACCCAGCGCTGGAAAGAGGCACCGCAGCCCTGCCAGAACACTCACAGAGCATCTTTTCCACGCGCCTTCCCCTTCCGTGGCCAGAGACTGCAGAAGTGCTAAAACACCACTAAAGTTAGAGACACCTGAGTAAACTCAGCACCTTGTAAACCGAAGCGCTAACCCAACATCCAGCGAGCACCTGGCTCGGAGCGCAGGGAGTGCGCGCTCCTGTGGACTGACGCTTTCCAGTGGCAGCGTGTGTGGCTACAGGAGGAACGGGGAACTGCCCAAGAGCTACCCCAGGAAGCCCAGTACAGATGCACGTGGCCAGCGCAACCTCCGGCGCGGGCATCCGTTCAGCACTGCGAGGCCGCGATGCCCCTTGGCACTCACCGGTCGACAGCTTCCACGTCAAAGCAAAACCTCTTCTCGATGGAGTCAGTTTTCCGCCGCGTGCAAGATTTGAGGGTAACAGCTTCGTCTTCTCCCTGAGACAAAATCACAGATAAGGCTGAAAACAACCAACCAAGCACGTGCCTGTCCCCAGCACCCACCGCGCTTTCCACGAGCGTGCTCAAACCCGGTGGGATTTGGCAAAACCAGCCTGCTAGAAATATGCATTTATATATCTGACATGAGGACTTGGCTTCTCACCTTTGCAGCCATGTTTAGCCCAAAATCCTTCATAGGATCCCAGAATGGTTTGGGTTGAAGGAACCTTACAGCCCACACAGTTCCAAACCCCCTGCAGGGGGGCAGGGACACCTTCCACTAGACCAGGTTGCTCCAAGCCTCGTCCAGCCTGGCCTTGGACACTTCCAGGGATGGGGCATCCACAGCTTCTCTGGGCAACCTGTCCCAGTGCTCCCCACCCTCTCCGGGAGGAACTTCCTCCTGTTGTCCTGATCTCCTGATCGCTCTCTTTCAGTTTAAACCAGTTACCCCCTCAGGAGTAGCACTTCCCTTCTCAACACACACGATTAAATCCGTGCGTTAAGCATCACACGGCCCACGCTCCAGGCAGGCAGGGAGTGCTGGAGCACAACTCTGGGATGAAGGCAGCTTTATTTTCCATCGCTGAACAATGCAACACAGACCTGGCTGTCAAGTTTTCACTCTGGGCTGTGTTTTTGGCAGCGTTCGGCATCCGAGAATGCTTAACGGGAGCAAATGTCTTAAAGTGTTTATTATATAACGAAGCAACAACAAAACCATTCTCCCATCCTGGCATCTGCATCCAAGCCTGGATTTCCACAGGCGGAGCAGGGATCTGGCAGGATCCATGTGCACTGCTGTCCTCTGCTGGAGGAAATTCCTGCCAACACGCACAGCTCTGCAAGTTTTAAAATCCACTGATGGCTCCAGAGAAAATGAATTCTGAACGAGCTCCTGGAGATGGACACCTCTCCGTGCTCCCTGTGCTGCTCTTGCTGACACCCTGGCTGACCACCCTGTTCCCCGACATCACCATTTGGCCAGGAAACGCATTTAGGGACCCAAAAAACACCCAGGAAGATGGACCTGAGAGAGTTCCCTGCAGGGCTTCTCCCCGGAGATGAGCAGAGGCTACCTGCACCCCGTCCTTCCCGCTGCTGGCACAAGTCTGATCCCAAGCTGCCCAACTCCCCTGCTGGTATTCAGGGAATGCCCCCTGCTTCAAATCCACTAATATCCGGCTTCAGCCACAGCCCGAAGGGCTGATAACCAGCGCAGTGTCCTTGTGACCCACAAGCAATGGGTCTCCTGCAGCACAACATCACTTCGTGCCTGCTCTAGCCAGACCCCAAAGTGCCCGGCAGCATGGTCACGGCCCCCAGGGTTGCCCCACACTCTGAGGCCAGCGCTTGTCATCGCTGACCAACGCTGCAGCCCAGACTGAGCCCCCAGCACAGGCAGCGTTTCACGCCAGGACCCTGGCGAGCATCCCCACCGGCGCGGCGGCCGGCACAGCATGCCGGAGC